ATCTAGAGGCACATTCTGGCAGATTTACTGCATATTGGCCTGGCGTCAAAAGCAGCCAAAAAATTGCGCGGCACAGTCGAGTAAGTCGAGTCTGACCTCCCGGCCCACACACAACGCCCCTCCCCAGGAGTCAGCCCGCAGCCCCATTTCTGTGCCCATTCCCATAGTTGCTTACAATATATATATTTATATATATATATATATATATATATATAAATATGTATATATATATTTCTTTTTGGCTGCTGCTGGCAGTTGGCAGCTGAAAGTCAGCTGCTGTCGTCCTTCGGCGCGGCAACCGTGAATTTATTTCCATCATTAGTTGCGGCACTTGAAGCCGAACATAAATGTGATTTATACAGGCTTTTGCGGTTACTGTCCAGCCATTAATATCATCATCATCTACGCATACGTACTAAATATTTATCTGAAAATCAAACTGTAGAAGCCTTCGCTATAGATTGAAATGTGTGCATGTATATAAGAATTTTGGTATACATATCTGGCGTACATAAAATCGAAGCTCCCACATCATCGAATATGCATTATTTAGACATTAGCATAATTTACTCTGCGCGCATCGCAACTTGGGAGCTCATCTCCTTCCATTTATTACAATCCTCCCATTCAAAATGACACACACCCGTCATCCCCTCAGACCGACGACACACAGCGACACGTCTCGCCTGTCATTGGCACTGGCAGCTATGTTCGCTTTGCCATTTGCCTTGTAACAAATGGGATTCCATCATAATAATGTCTTCCTTGGCGGAGTCTACAATCTAAATACTAGTATACACACACACGTACATGACTCTGTGTATGTGTGTGTGTGTGTGTATCCTGTGACAAATACGTCAGGATTCGCAATTGCGAATATTTCAAACTCAAACACACGATGTCAAAGTCTCTGCTTAAGCTTTAAGTGGGAGGTTCTTACTTGAGTTTTTTTTTTTTAGTACAATTTGGTTGCGTTTTTCGGGGATTTGGCTTCAGCCAGCTTCACACTCAAGTCAGCAAAATTGATGACTATAGTGCGTGATGCCATTTGCATGACAGTTACCAAAAGCGACGACGGATCCAGCGAATGCGAGCGAGTATCTGGTCGATGTGTATCTCATTTTTGGTGTCGAAGAGCTGGACAAATAATATTTCCCTAGCTACCAAGATGGTTTAACAACTCCGAGAACATCTTTCTCAGGCGTGTCCAGTGCATTTCAGTTTAATTTTAAATATTACGTATACGCCATGTGGCGTCGAATAGACTTGTTCTCTCCCTCTAATAACACCCACTAATTATATGGTGTAAATTCGTACGCCTTTAGGCATCACTGCTGCAGCTTTTATGACAGCCACGCCCACTTCGCACCCATATTCAATTGTCTGTCACGCAAATGACGAGCTTCAATGTCATCAACAGAATCTCAATGCTGGCAATGGCAGTCGCCGAACAAGTCACAAAGCCGGTAAAGTTCTTGACCTAGAAACAAAGCAAGGCAGGCAAATGATGACGACATAAACCACGGCCATAAGAAGAGCAAAGAAGAGGAAGCACCATCGACGACGTCACCAAATTGGCAACAGGAGAAGCGAGAGGAGGCAGCAGGCAAAAAACGAACCGTAGACCAGACAAAAATTAAAATTAAAACAAGGACACAAAAAATAAACACCACAGCCCACACAAATGAGCGAGAGAGATAGAAACACTGAGAGTGCTAGTAAGCGAGAGAGAGAGTAACAGAGCAAGACATAGCCGGCAGCTCTGTGGCAACAACCAAGCCGAAACACTGAAACTGGGTTAATAAGCAAACAAGCAATATGATAATGACGATAATGCCAATGATGATGAAGATGATGATGATGACGTAGGCAGCAACGAGAATGCTGCGAAAGTGCATATAATCAAGAAGAAGCGCTCTCCAAAGCTGCCTGCTACCCTCTGCCACATCCTACATTTTCTGTGGGTGCGAAAAACGCAAACTTTACTCATTTTCATTTAGTCCTGTGGGCTGTGGCAAGGCGCACGACAAACTTGAAAGCTGCAAGCGGCGCCCAAACGTCTGCCAGGCATCCCAATGCCTTGTGTCATTGCCTGGCAACGTCTCCTTCTGTGTCTGTGTGTGTGTGAGTGTGTGTGTGCAGCGACTCCTTGCTGTTTTTAATTTCATTGCAAGAAAATGAACGAACAGCGACAAGGACGAAAGAGCAGAGAATGCCAGAATGCTTGCCTTGCCGCAGAGGCAAAACGCGCAAATGAAGCCAACACACCAAAAGACACTGCCTGGCAAAGTCTGCGCGCCAAGTCGAGACACACGCCCCACCCGTGCCCCATGGAGGCGGCACGCGGAGCCACCCACACGCCGGCTAAATTAGCTGCAGCAGCCGCGCGACATTAAAAAGTTTGCCGGCTGCGTCGTCATCGTCGACATTGGGTAAAATAAAAGAAAAGCAGGGAAAAGTAAAGGAAAATATTGCCGCGAAAAGTGAAATTAAAATGCGAGGGAAGCACAAAAACATAAAAAAGAAGCCAGACTTAAAATAAAGAAAAAAGCAAACGGAAAATTGCCGGCAAATTAAGAATTGGAAAATGAGCAAAACAAAGAAAGAAAAACGTACAATGAAAATTCAATTCAATTTTTCCACAGCCCGTTGCTATTTCTTAGCAAACCAAATTATTCATTTTGTTTATGTGTATTTTTTTCTTGATTAATTTTTCGAGTTTTTTGAACTCGAACCGCATCCAGCAATTAATCAATAATTTTATCATACAAAATATTTATTTCAATTTTTTTTTTCTTTTGCAGCTAATTGGCTCCGACAACATGGTAAGTCGTACGCCAAGTTCCCAGTGCTTTAATAATGATTCAGCTCTGTACCGCCGGACTGGACAGCTTTTTCCTGGTGCATGTGCGTCAAACTAGTTTCGGTATTAATTTGGTCAACATAAAACGTAAATTGATTAAAGCCATTAAACAGCATCAACGATGGGGCGAGGCGGGCAAAATACAGCAAAAAAGCAAACGAAAAACATTTGCAAATTAACAAATGACGCTAATTAAATGTACTGTTAGCTAATTGCCAGGCTAGTCTTGAAGAAATACAAATATTGATATTTATTTCTTAGAATTTAACTGGGCGCAACTAATTGACAGACAGGTGCAATTATGATAAACCACAGTGAGACCAAATTGAACAAATAAAATAAACGATTTAAGGACAGTATATGAAAAATTCTAATTTATATTTTAAGTCTGGTAAATATCAAGCTATCAAGCTTGATATCTTAAAGTTTAACTGAGCGAAAAGAATTGATTGATAGTTAATTTCGTCAACTCCGATTGCATTCAAAATGCAATAATTAAATGATTTGTTGCCACTGTGAAGTTAATTTAAGTTTTAGTTATTATTATTCAATAATTTAAGTATTTCTTATCTTAGGCAAGCTGAAAAGCAAAATACGGACATAATATTTAATATTAATATTATTAATTCAAGCATTTGATAAATTTATAAACCATGACTCCAACTCATCGAATAGGACAAGCCTCTATGCCCTTCAAACACCTCGCCAGGAACTCAAACCCGGATTACCTTTGTTCACTTGGCTACATAATCAGCTCAGTTGGAGAACAACTTTTAAGTTATAACTAATTTTCTGTCGCTTCTTGCATGTGCTCTAAAAGTACACTGCAATTCAGATACCCTCAATGGGCTCTGTGGCGCAGTCAGTTGTGAGCTGACTGAAATTTTATTGAAGCAAAAGCAAAAGGTACTACGAAAGCCACTTGGTAATTAAACTGGTTTCAAATTAACATAAAATGAAATTAAATAAATAAAAGTGCTGGGCTCGGAACTGAGTGCCAGGCTGTCAGTTTGCCAGTTCGCCGGGCTGCCAGTTTGCCAGGTTGCCAAGTTGCCTGTAAACATGTTTCAACGCCGCGCAAAATTAGCAACTTGTAGCAGAGTGTGTCTCGGTGTGTGTTTGTATGTGTGTGTGTGTGTGCGTTTGACTGTGCAACATGTTGCCTGGCAGAATGGCGACGCTTATAGATAAATTTCTGTCAAAATTGCTGATTGACTTCATTAATAACCACGCGCCAAGACGCCAGTCGCAGTCGCCGGCGCAGTCGCCGCTGCAGTCGCAGCCAGCTGACAACTCAACAAGGCAGCTGCTGAAAGGCAACTGGCCAGACGGTAGGGGGAGGGATGCGAAGCGTGGGCAAATTAATAGCAAACTTGTAGCTGACTGCTTGTAACCTGTTGGGAGGGTCTTGACGGTACCTGTATCTGCATCTGCATCTGCATCTGCATCGACATCGGCATCGGCATCAGCATCTGAATGCGGTGGCACGATTGATAAGTTGCTTGCTGCGTGGCCATGTTCAATGTCCAAATGCTGGCACAACATGTTCTGGAACTGGTCATACACACACACACACACACACACACACACTTACACACAGACCTGCCCTCTACCCACCGCAGCAGCCCAAGAAATCAGTGCGAAAATTTATGTTGGTCCGCTGGAATTTTAATGTGCGTTGCCTGCCAATGAGGAAGCGATTTTGCATGCACAGCATTTGGCCATAGTCGTCGTCGTCCTCGTCGTCGTCGTCGTCGTCGTCGTCGTCGTTGTTGCCGTTAAATGCCGTTTAATTGCGTTGCAAAAACCGTTTGCTTTTAATTGGTCAGCTTTTGGTACCAAATGGCAGCCCGGCTCCGTTCAAATTACAAATGCCAGGCAGATAACTCAATAAATGTACAGATTAGTTACAGGCGCAATCAATCAGCGTCAAAAGCCAGCCGCACTAAATTGTGAGTGGCAAAATAATTACCAATCTATGACTTGATAATACAAGCACAACACGGCGCATGAGCCAAGCCTGCAGATCAATCCTTTCTATTCAACAAATTGCACTCACAAATTATAAAAACACAATGACACTAGCCGCTAGTGTCATGAAAATGTAATAGAAACAAAGATGTGTTACTTACCTTACCTTAATTCGGGAATGGAGCATATGGGAAGTGCAGAAAAATGTCCAAATAAGCATAAATTGATTAGACACGTATTATTATTAGTTTATTTCTTTATCCATTCCACATAGAAGCAAGCTTAAAGGAGAAAAAAAGAATGTATTATGATTATTTTATTATTTTTTTATATTTTTTAATACCTTTATAATTAAAATTTTTTTGTATACATATTTTTATTGTTATTATTAGATTACTAGAGTACATAAATATTAATAATATTATTATTAGGCTTTCATTAAATGATAATAATATTTAAATAAAAATTCCTTTCGCTCCTTTTTGCAGATTACAATTGGTTCTTTATTCTGTTTTATAAATTAAAAGCTTCAAAGAATGACTTTCAGCTTGTGTCATAAGAGATGCAGTGCATCTCATCTATACATATCAATACATATATATATATATATATATATAAATATATATGTTATAAATACATATATATTTGTGTGTGCGTGCGTATCTGTTTATGTGGGCTCGTAATTTGGTTGCCTTTCACAAAAGACATTTGACGGCGGAAGACAGCGGACAGACTTTGTTGACAACGGACATGGCACATGGAAAACGGACAGCTTTGTCGTCGCCACAACGCCAGTCAGTCGTCCACGTCCGACAGTTGGCAGCCCGTTGATCATCATCGTATGTGCTATGCATTTTTTACGAGACACAAAATGACGCCGTGCCGCACTGCACCGCACCGCGCCCCAACCATAGCTGTAGCCGTAGCCGAGTTGAGCGCCAACTGTGAGCTACATAAATTTTTGTGGCGACCGGCGAAAGGCAAAAATTAAAATGCGCTTATAAAGCAATAAAAATTCAACATAATAATAATAACAAATAATGACCACATAATGAAAACGTACGCAGAGATACTCGCCGTTGGTCGGGCAGATGCATAGATACAGATACAAACACAGATGCAGACACAAGTTCCACACAGACATAGATGCACAGTTACGTGAATGAGACAGCCGCCATAAAGTGTTGTATTTGTGGCTGCGTTAAGCGAGAGGCTGTCAAAGGCTTGCCTAAAAAGGCAATTGTGTCTGATAGATACAGTATCTGTGGCCGATTCGTTCAAGCGATTGTAATTAAAATGACAGGCATGTAGAATGCATTTCAAATACCAAAATGAAAGTTAATCATCTATTACATACACTTCATAAGATACAAATGCATCTCGAACAAGCCACCAAGGAATAATATCTCAGACACATATCTGTTGCAGCAAAACTATTTCACAGATGCAGATTGGATTGCCATAACAGAGAAACGTATTTCACATGCTGTCTGCGCACGCTGTCAGCGGCAATTTGCCAGAACATAAAATCACACGTTTACACAAACGGCGCAAGTATCTTAGCCAGCAACCGGCTCAGCAGGTGAGCGGAGGCTCGCTATGGTCGGACCTGGACTTCTGTGATATGGCAAGCGTTTGGCGCCGGGCATTAAACGGGGCATAGGGCATCCTTTCTAAATTCAAGTACATTTGATTCAAATCGTGTAACTGCTGTTTAAAGCGATCTCCTTTATTTTCCAGCCACACACATCAGTTTCTTGCCGAGGCAACCAGAGCAACTCATCAAGACTTCAACATGGAAGCGACAGCAGTTGGCAGTTACACGAAGAACACAACAGAATCAGGCCAAAAGCAGCTGGGTACAACGGGTAAAAAAATTGAATAATGTAAACATGAAATGCTACAGAGGATCATTTTTTCTCCTTTCTTTCACAGGGCCGCTTCAAAAAGCCGAAATCCAAAAACAAAAAACTTCATCAAGCTTTCGAGGCACGTTTTACCATTAGGAGGCGTTGCACATTTGCCGCTCGCTGGGCGTGGCTGTGCAACAGGCAGCGTAGCCAACTTGATACATTTTAATTTGCCCGACTTAATTAATTTTTTTCAACGCTTTAAGCCAACTCCTTGGACTTTCAGTTGCCGCTGCTGCTGCGGCTGCTGCTGCTTGCAATTTGGCGTTTTAATTAATTCTTTCTAAGTGAAAGATTGCATGGCTTTCAGCTGTCTGTCTGTGTGTCGTTTAGTCTGTCAAAGTGAAATGGGTCGGGCTGTCAGCTTGAGCTTTGGCTGTGAGCGGCATCACATTCGAAATTGAGTTTTCTCAAAGCAGATCCGTGCTGCAAGCTGTTGCACATGTGACAAACCAAATGCTAGTCAAACCAGACTCCTGACCCCAGCTCATAAAGCAGCCAGTCCAGCTAATCAGGCTGCCCATTAGGCAGCCCAAACGTCAACACTTAACAGCCAGCGATAAAAACTCTGGCTACCCAAAGCATTGGCAGTTCGTCAGCCAGACATTCAGTCAGTCAGTTAGTCAGTCAGACGGTGGCAACAATCGTCGTAAGCTCCTCGGGTATCTTTCAGATGTATCGCAACGTGCATTGAGGCGATTTATGTGCGAATTTCGTTTGTTTGTTTTTGCTTTGGCTGCCCTGACTGGCGCTTTGTATGCAAACTGTCAATCAAAGCCAGTCGCTCAATGGCTCAGGCCTGCCTACCTGGCTGCCTGCCTGCCTACCTGTCCGCCTAGTCTCCTGCCCGCCTGATGCTAATCAGCGCACTGACCGCCAGTTTATGTACTGCGCCCGGAATTGGTTGCCTGCCACAAGTTATGGCGCCATTATATGACGCTGAGCAGCTGCAAGCAGATTGGAGAAGCTTTAGCTGGTTCCTAACTCTCGTGACATGTCAGCCACAAAATGTCAGCAATTGGCATGCCCCGGTGAAAACATATTGAAAAAGCTGCCACGGCACAGCGAGCGGGCGATTTCCTAAGCTACCGAATAGAATAAATAAAACCACACAAAAAAAAATATATTGAGAACAAAAAAACGAGAGAGACAAGAAAACCATTTGCCAAAGCCCAAAAGGCTGTAACTAAATGCAAATCACGGCGGTTGTGCGGCTCAAACGCCGGTGGTTAACACTTTGAGCGAATGTATCTAACAGATACTTTTAGCCGGGGCCCGCATAGACAAAGTAACTTGGCAATCAAATGCATTTATTTTGCATATAATTGAAATGATAATTTGTGTGCAGCCAAGTGTTTTTGTAGCTGCCAATTGTTGTGGTTGTTGCTGTTGCTGCTGCTGTTGTTGTTGTTGTTGTTGTTGCTGCTGCTGTGGGCGTTAAAGAGTTGTTGCTGCAGTTTCTGCCTTTTCAAAATGTCAACTTGTGCAGCTCTGTCAGATAAATCAATCAAGTTGATTAGTTTTTTGTGTTGCAGCGGGTAATTAGCGTGGCCCGGCACTGGCGGGTGTGACTTGATCTATAAGACTGTAACTGTCTCTCACACTAGCCGTCAGTCAGTCAGTCTGTCAGTCGGTCTGTCAGTCGGTCTGCCAGTCAAGCGGGTGGAAAATTATAGAGATAATTCAAGGTTAGAAATCAGCAATCGGAATTGTTTTAATTTAATGTGTTGACGTTTCAATTGGCAATTTACAAAGCGAATTGCATTTAGCCATAAGTTCTACCAAATCGTATGTTCTTAACGCGCAATTGGTCTTTTCTTCTTTGTCTTTTTTTTTTGCAGCAGCAGCAGCTCAAAAAGTAATGTATCCTGCCACTTATACTTCCTGTAAAGGCTAATGTGCAAAAGGCAGCTCTTGCCAGTTGTCTATACTCTTTTTGCCTCTTGGATAATGCGCTGGCATAAAATTTTAAGACCAGATCCAACATGCATATACATATGTCTATATGTACGCATCCATAAGCTACTGTGGCTTTTTTCTTATTATTGATTTTTTGTCTTTTTTGTTGAGTGGCCAGACAGACGGGCGACTTTGGCAAGTATTGAATCCAATGCCAATAACCGAAAGAAAAAATATCTATAATCCGTTTATGGCTTTAATTGCAGCTTCAAATTGTCAACTCAAACAGTTAAGTGCGAGCAGCTTCGACTTATCGCTGGGTAAGTAGACATGTGAGCATTGTTAAGTGAAACAAATATCTTAAGATTTAAAGATACCGAAGTCTATATACCATCAGCGAGGTATAGAGTTCCTACGTGCAAATTGCAATAATCGTAGGAACTTAATACCGTGCTCTTGGAGGGCTGTCGACCAGCAAGAAAAGAAAAAAACTATAAAGTGACAAAGTGAAACAAAATGTTTGGATATATTTTTAAAGTGAAATATTTGATTTGAATGTAAAGCTCCTTAAATATTGTCAATAAATCGTGTCCTTCTAGCAAATTCTAATCTGTATCTTTATCACATATCTCAACTATAAGAAATTACCCTTAGAGAGCGTTTCTTTTTCGATTCGGAACTGTTAAAGAACTTCTTCGCAGTTCATCAACCTTTGCGCGCACCTTAAAGGGGCGCACATGACCCTTGGGTTGCGGGCTCGAACAACCCCTTCGCCTTCGACCCTCTGCGACTCGAGGACCGCCGAGGACTCCTATCGCATGCACTTTATCTACTGGCATTTGCATTACAGCGTTTAATTGCGAATGGGTTACGAGCGCGAAGGATGCGTTTCACGCACCCGTTACGTAATTGATAACGGTTCATTTGGCCGACACGACGGATTTCCACTGCGTATCAGCTTGATTAACGGTAAAGTAAGCCAACGGGGTCTATCCGTTAGCCAGAAAACAAATGTGCCGTTCGATTTTGATGAGTTCCGTGGCAATGATGCGTTAACTTATGAATATGCATAGGGTCGAGCTAGGATGTTCAATGGGGTTGCGAATTTCAACCGAGGTGATCCTTTGCACAAAACAATAGAAACAAATATACAAATATCAAATGCACGGCAAATGCAAGATGATCGCAAGCTCGGAGAAAATAAGAGTTCCTCCGAAAAGCAGCCTAGTTTACAAATGTTCAAGAGTTCAATGAACATGTTCTTTGTTTTACATTTCTTTTACTTACAAATGCATCTCATCTGAGATATCTTGTCATTCCGATTATCTTATCCGGCATGTTAAACACATGGAAGAAAGCATTTCTGACAGGATGACAACTTCTTTTTATAGAGTCATGTCCCTCTGAACGAATGAATGAATTCTTTTTTTAACTATATCATATTGTTTATAAAGGAGCGATCATTCGGCAAT